TCCGCAACAAGATAGTGCAGGGCAGGTGGTCCACCAGTGAGTTTGCCCACAACATCAACTGGCTGGAGTTGAGGGTGGTCCGCCTTTCTCTGCGCAAGTTCCAATCAGATCTGCAAGGGCACTATGTGCTTGTCCAGACGGACAATGTGGCGGTGAAAGCACACATCAATCGCCAAGGTAACACCAGATCCAGCGCATTGATGGCAGAGGTGGATGTACTCGGACAGTGGGCAGAGCATCATGTAAATTCCATAAGAGCAGAACACATATCGGGGATAAACAACGTTCGGGCGGATTGGTTAAGTGGGTCCACTCTGGACCAGTCAGAGTGATGCCTGCATCCGAACCTGTTCTATCACCTGTGTCTCAGGTTCGGCACTCCTCTAGTCGATCTTTTCACCATCCTGGAGAATGCCCAACTTCCCCGCTTTTACGCCAGGTATAGTTCACCTCAAGCGGAAGGGGTAGATGCGCTCAACTGCCCTTGGCCCAAGGGCCTGCTTCACGCCTTCTCGCCCTTGCCTCTACTTCCTTGAGTCACCAGGAAGATTCTGCTGGAACAAGTGGAAGTTCTTCTGGTGGCCCCTTACTGGCCACGAAGAACTTAGTTTGCCGACTTCACCAACCTCTGTTAGTCAGCCTTGGAGAATTCCCCAGGAATTGGCCTCCCTCAGCCAGACAACACCTCAGCCATACAACACCTAAAGTGGCTCAATCTGACCACCTAGCACTTGAGGAGGATTTCCTAGCTCAAGCCAACTTCTCGAGGCAGGTCATTCATACCATTCAGGCAGCCTGGCGGCCTTCCACCACCAGCATCTATGGGGCCACGTGGTCTGCCTTCTCCATCTGGTGCGGCTCACATCATCTAGAGCCACTTTCTGCGTCTCTCCCTCAAATATTGGATTTCCTCCAAGAGGGATTCGATAAAGGACTAGCTCCAAATACTTTACAATGCCAAGTCGCTGCACTGGCCACTGTGATATCTGTAGACTCTTCCCAACCGCTCAGCTGTCACCCCCAGTGTACGGGCCTTCCTTAAGGGTGCATTGAACCTGTGGTTGCAAGTGATCCATCAATACCCATCCTGGGACCTCGCTGTTGTTCTCAGGGCTCTAACAGAACCACTCTTTGAACCTCTCCGCTCTTCTTCCATTAGGCACCTTTTCTTCAAGACGGCCTTCCTTGTCGCCATTACTTTGGCGAAGAGGGTGTCTGAACTGGCAGCCCTGTCAGTCAGGGAGGATTTGTGCCTCATCCATAGGGACAGGGTCGTTCTCTGGTTGGACCCTTCGTTTATCCTGAAGATCAATTTCAGTTTCACAGGGCCCAGGAGCTCGTTCTCCCAAACTTTTGCCCGAGGCCCTCACACTCTAGAGAACGCCGTTGGCATACCCTTGACATATGGAGAGCATTGAAGTGGTACATCAAACATACATCCTCCTTACGACGCTCAGAGGCCTTATTTGTATTATTTCAACCAGTAACCATGGGCCGGAAGGTTTCATCTTCCACAATCAGTCGCTGGCTCAAGGCTTGTATCTTCCTGGCCTACGAACACCAGACTGACAGCACACTCAACCCGAAGCATAGTGACTACCGTGGCCTGAGCTACCCAGGCCTTGATTGAGGAGATCTGCAACGCCATCCTTATTTGGTGGCACTACAAGCTGGACAAATACGCCTCTGCTGATGCTGCCTTCGGAAGACATGTCTTGCAGAGGGTGGTTTCTGATGTGGATTGTGGACCTCATTGCAGGCACCTGCCCTAGTGATCTTTTGCTTGGGCATATCCCTTGCTTGGACACTCCAAGCAGTGCACCGGAGAATGACCATTGGCTTACCTGAAGGGTCGTTCTCGGTGCACTGCAGGAGTGTCCAATCTCACTTTGGGGTATTATTTTCAGGATGTCCTGCTTTTCCATGTTAGGATACTTTACCAGTCGGACATCTGTCTCAGATGGACCATGCCTTCATTGAAAAACAGGATGGAAGGAGCCAGAGGACGTGGCCAAAGATTTTCAAACCAGTCCTTGGGCAGTGGGACAAACTTTAACCCTTGCTTGGACACTCCTGCAGTGCACTGAGAAGCCAATGGTCATTCTGCTATATGGTGAGAATGAAAGAGTGGAATCTGACGTGAAGTCTTTCCCAAGGATTGAACTACATAAAACCAGCATGATCAAAGCATAGAAATGGATGCAGTTTTCATCACACCATTCTCTCTATCATCTTGATTTTTTTTAACCATACCGTGAAAATAGCCCTGATGAAAGCATTATAAATAATATTCAAACTCCAGGGAGAGTCTTAGGAAGCATGCTAATTGTTTTTAATCAAGATTTCTATTAAAATATTATTTGAATGATTTAGATTATTATATGTACTCTTTGCCCCTTATTCATCAGCAGAATAAATGGAGAACTTTCGAGAGGCCAGATCAACTCAACTGATATTTACTATTGTTGCTAGAGATGTAATTCATTTCTTCCAGACTGAGAACAAACTGATATATTATAAAGGCTAAATGCAGTGAACTGACTTCATCCCATCCATGGAGGAAGAAAATCTAGGCTCAGCTCTCCTGAATTCGGACCCCAGTTCTGATTCAGTATACAACCTCAGACCTATCATACAACAGCAGGACAAACAGATGAGGAAATTGTTCAACCGGGACCAAGAAAGAATAGCCTGGGACAGTAGCAGACAGAGTGCCTGGAAATGCATCCCATGCTGTGCTTGTTACCAGAGGTCATTGTCCAGATCTTAAATCATGGTGGCACCTCCTAGGTTGCAGCCATTGATAGCCAGGTCGAAGTCCAGATGCTGGGCCATTTGGGAGACAGGGAAGAAGAAGAGGATATGCCTTTCTCCCCAGGACTACTTAAATATTAGCATAGGCTGCTTCCTTGTCAAGGGGCTTTAACTCTCACTGCATGGCTTTTTGCTGAAGAGAAAAAGCAGGGACAAAGAATCCTAGTAAAAAATATACCCATATGCTCAAATACAATGCCCTGGGTAGGGAAACTCCTCCATCCTATCACAATTTGTGCTTTTTCTGTTATTTTCCATAACAGAATGGAGGGGACACTATTCCCCGATTTCAATAATTATTGACCGAAAGGGAAAACAAAATAGGGTCTGAGAGTAATGAGTATCCATGGATTAGTATTATGGTTGGGTTTGAAATAGGATTTAGAAATGTTTGTGGACATTATGTACATAAAAATTAAAAGCAATGTTCTGTCCTTTTAAATGAATTGTGTGGAATTGTTAGTGATTTCAAATTATAACCCATATTTCTGGATGGACCTTCAACAGCTGACAACAGCTAGAAAAACTGTTTTCGATATTTGATCGTCTTCAATTCTCTGTTTTTGGGTTGTGTCTATCACACATATCATCTTCTAGCCTGCCTTTCATTTTAATTACAGAAATTACCCCTATCTCTATTTTTGGGTATGCTTGAACTCTGTAGAGTGTTAGGATTTTGGAGATTTTCTTTTTAAACTTACTTTTGACTGACTGAATGTCTTTTTTTTTTTCTAAAGTGGGACCATAAGCTCACAAATTTTTATATTCCATTCCCTTCTGCCTCCTCATATGACCCCCCCGCCCCCAAAACCAGGAAAGCCATAGAGTTGTGTCCTGTCCCTGGTAGGGAGGGTAAGGAGGGGAAAACGTTTCCAGATACTTTTGAGGTCTACTAATACCATGGTACCTACAATAGATGACAGTATGATACAGCTCTATGTATGTGATATCCAAGAATTAGCAGATTTTTCTTATAAGTGGATAAGATGTAATTCTGGACTTTTTTACCTCAAGAAACTGATAGCATTTGTCTGTTTGACCCCACATCAACAAATAGGTAGTGCTGCCTATATATGTAGATTTTTCTGCCATTCTTTTTAATTTTTTTCTGCATCAGCTTCAAATTAGAAGTTTTCAAAGAGTTCTTTTCATTTTTCTTTGTCCTGTGATTTTCCCCTATGATTTTTGCTATGCTGCAGTTATCCATGTTTGAGTGAATTGCAACTTCACTAAAATAATTGAATTAAAGCCAAGAGCATTACTAACTAAATAAGTCATACATCTATATAAAAATGTATATACTATAGAGAAATGTGAATATGCTGCAGCTTTCCACATTAATAGCTTGTTTTCAATTACTATTAATTTGTATTAATTGTGGTCAAGAATGAAAAAATTAAGGCATGTATATATTGCTTCTATGCTTAAGTTATTATTTACTAACTTTTCGTTCGATTATTTTTGCTTCTGAGCTTTTCTCTCACCAGGATATTTCCCTATTGCTTATTTTATTCTACAATGCTATTCTCAATCAGAGTCTGAAAATGTTTAATATTAGTTGTAGTGGTGAAATTCAATTTTTTTACTACTGGTTCTGTGGGCATGGCTTGGTGGGCGTGGTGTAGCTTGGTGGGTTGGCAGGGGAAGGATACTGCAAAATCTCCATTTGCATCCCATTCCAGGGGAGTGATACTGCAAAATCTCAATTCCCACCCCACTCTGGGGCCAGCCAGATGTGGCATTTGCCAGTTCTCCGAACTACTCAAAATTTCTGCTACCGGTTCTCCAGAACCAGTCAGAATCTACTGGATTTCACCCCTGATAAATTATATTAACTGATACTTGAATATAAGTATGTGGGAGGTTAAAGAATCAAGAAGGCTGCTTCATCTATATGATGAAATCCCCTCTATTTTTAAACTTATATTGCATGTAACACATGCCAAAAAGGGGCGGGTTTTCAATCATGTATGTGCAGCCACCCCGTTGCATGTTTGATACTTTTACTCCCAATGTCTTTGGATAGAAGGATTTTAGCTTAATTCCTTGGATTCTTGGAACATTCCATATCACAGCATCTGAGCCGATTAATAACCAACATTTTTAAATCTTTACAATCACAACAATATAAATAATAGCCAAGTTGGAGCAGTTGTGCAATCTTCATATCTTTCCTGTTTTCCTAGAATGCCATTAAAATCTTTTCCTGGGACGTCTGGACTTCATTTCATCTTCCTTGGTCTTCAAAAATAACAGTATCAGGTAACAGAAGAAAAGCTGTTAAGATTTATTAAAATTGCATTGCTCAACATTCACTGAACAAATGGTTAGCTAATGATTAATTCCTGTATAGCTACTTCCTGAACATTTGGGATAGAATGACAGCAGTTTATATACTGAAAATGGGATTCCATGTATATAAATTGATGAAATATAGTGGCTGATACATAGTGTTTTAAATCTGAATTAACAATTTCAAAAGGCTGGAGATTGAGGTTAAAATGACCAGTTTTTCTTTCATTGTCATATCTAAATGCAGTCTAAATGCACTGGAAGGCCTATGTTTTATTAATGTTTTCCAAGGTCTAGAACAGGGGTGTCAAACTCGCGGCCCATGGACTGGATGCGTCACGTGCTGGCCACGCCCACCTCCAGTTTAGCAAAGGGGGGGAAAGTTGCAATATGACACGTGACGTCAATGTGACATCGTGAATTTGACACCCATGGTCTACAGTCATTCAGAGTACCATTATAAACTGTGACAGGAGGGAAATGCCCTAAAATATCCAGGGGAGCACAGCTATAAAGGAAAAAGTGCAAATACTTATTCTACCCCCAGCTGGACCATCTTAGCAGCTTTTCCTGTAGCCAGTGGTATAAAACTTAGGTGAAATCAAGAGCCATCCTGGAGTTTTGCATGGCATCCCAGGTCTATCCTCCATAAGATGGGGAAGGAGAAAACTAAGACCAGCCCAAATTCCAAGTTTGATTTAATATTTACTTTGAAAAAAAAGGAAGAAAAGGAAAAAAAGCAATAAAGTAATAAAAATGCTGTATGTACATAGGGTTCTGATATATTCTTTTATACTATACTTTCATGTCTGTATTTCATTGTCATTACTCATACATAATGTATGTCTGTAAGGAACTCATTCATAAGTCATGGGGAACTTCAGTTTTTCAATAAATGAAATAATAAAATTCAATAGTGAGTCAAACTGGATTGAATTTAGATTTGATTTAAACTAAATTTAAATAAATTAACATGACTGTTTATGTTTTTAATCAATAGGAGCTAGTTCTCACACTATCACTAAAACCCCACAAGAATAAATTGAACCATTGTAAAAACAAAGGACAGGCAGAAATGACCTAATTTAATGGAGATGAAATGCAATAGTCTGTCAGGTATTGACAAGAACATTTGAATCTTGTCTTGTAAATAGGTTTGGCTCTTGATTAATTACAGTTGCTAATATTTCGTGGTTGTCATTGTTGTTATACCTGCCTAATTTTCTTCAATAAATATTACTTAGATTCTTGGATTACTTAGTTCTTAGATTTTTTTTAATGTTTTGCATTATAAAACACAAATAATAGCCAAGTATAGTGGTATTTATACAACGGGAACTGGAAACTATTAACAATTAAAATAAATTAAAACTTTAAAAATAGAAAATGTATATTACTGCTAAATATGATTAATGAGTTGTAAATGGATAGAGTTGCTTAACTCATAGAGTTGATGCTGAATATAACATGGATAAGAAGTTGCAGAGTACATTGAATTATTTTGTAATATGAAAAAATAGTTTAGAACTTTGAACTTAACGCTGAAGTCTTCACTCTATTGTTATTTATGAATATAAAAATGTGAGGTTTGGTAGGAAAAGAGAGCTGCTTGGAAAAACATGTACTGTATTTAATCCCTGACTTCACCATTCTCTATATTCTGACCGATTTGCAATGTTTTTTAACATGTATCCCCCCTTTAAAACATTATTGGATTTTCTTGTGAGTTTGTCTAAGTAGTTTCAAATCATATTCTGTCTGACAACTTCCTCCATGGAGGCAAGCATTGAAGTGAATTGCCACACAAATTCTTGAATACAGCTCATCTGCCTGGAATCTTCACTGTACATCGGACTTGAATACGATTGAGTGGGCCCAGAGGTACTTCACGGGAATATTACTCCCTTCCTCTACTCACAATAGAGTTCCCTATGCCACCAGGCTTGAAATTTTGGGCTTGGACAATCTAGAACTGAACATCCTGTGATATGATCTAAGCACAGTACCCAAAATTGTCTGCTACAACGTCTTACCTGGCAACGACTTCTTCAGCTTCAACTTAAATAATACACCGGCAAATAATTGATACAAACTCAAGATAAACCGCTCCAAACTTGCAGAAAATATGACTTCAGCAACAGAATGGTCAATGCCTGGAATTCTCTACTTGACTCCATTGTTACATTCTCTAACCCTCACAGCTTTGACATTAAGCTGTCTACCATGGACCTCATCCCATTTCTAAGACGTCCATAAAGTGGATGTGGATAAGCACATCAGCGTGCCTAATGTCCCCGTTCTACTGTTCCCATCTATTTGAATTCATGTATTTCATTTATATTCATATTTATATTTATACCTGCAATCATGTACATGTTTAACAAACTAATAAATACAAATACAAGTGGCTCTGGAGCCACACCCAAGTTTTCAAAAGGAGCCTACAATGTATCGATAGTTGTGGCTACTGGCATGCTTTGCAGAGTGCGTGGCCATGTCACCATCATCAATGCGATATATCAGGATGATTGACAATGTGCCTCATGCTACATCACCTTTTTTTACTTGTCTGAAGTACTTGTAGGCACAATAGGCACAGCAACTGCTCCCTGCTTCCTCTTTCCTTCTTGTCTCTCTCTTGCAGTTAAAACAAACCCAGTTATTCTGGGTACTTTTTCATGTAATTGTGTGAAGCATGAATTCTGCCTGGAAGGTTGAAGCATATTCCTTTGCCACAAAAAAGGTGGATCATTCGGTAAATCAGCAATAAGATGCCAGGGCTTAACATTTACTCTCCCAATGATTGCCATCCTTTTCCCTATCCGTAGTCACAATGATAAAGGAGACGCTAAGCTAGCTCTATCTAGGGATGGAAGCATTTGTCTGAGATTTCTTTGAAAGTGGTATATTAACCTCATGAATTTTCCTAACAGGACTGTGATTTATCTTCAGCTATTTGACTCAACTAATTGAGTTCATACCATCCGGTGATTCATGCCACAGAAAGGGTTCCAGAGAGAATGGGCTCTCCAAAAGCAGCCTTTCCCTCCCTTTTCATGAATGGCCCCAACATTTTTCTTTCTTTCTTTATTAGTTGGAGAGCCATAATACTTTTAAAGCCAAGAAGCCTTTGAAAATGAACATTTAACCCGGAATCAAATCAATCACTGTCAAGGTTTGAATTTCAGTCCTGATGAGAGGACAGCAGCCCAGATTCTGTGGAGAATAATGCTTTTTCCCAGATGCTTCCCCCCCTGGGAGTGATCAAGATTTCTGTGAAATTCAAAAACTTTCATGAAATATCTCATTTTACCCTTTGGTATCTAAAAAAAAGGATTCCATATGGTAGAAAGGTGATAGGAAGAGATGTACTCCATTTAGTCACATCTCATACCACCATGCAAATGTTCAGCTAAAACCTCTATTTTGTTTCCAGAGCTAGAGCTGTGAACACTCCTAAGATTAGGAGCATCTTCTTTGTCTATTAGATGGATTTATTTTCTTCTGTTCAATCATGGCTAATTCTTGGAGACTTTCTACAGAGGTCCCTGCAGTTTTCTTGGCAAGGTTTTTCAGATTTAGGCATGGGGCAAGTGATCGTATTCTTTGAAACCACCAGGAGTATATTAAAATGACATAAGACTAGATCCAGACTAACATATCCTCTTAGAATTCATTGAGATCAATACAACTTTAATAAGTCATATTTAACATTTCACATAGTTGAGAGATAAATGCAGTGGTCATATATCATGTTTGACAACAGTTTTGTTAAACATAATAATGTAAAACAGCATTTGCTTCTTTTGGTTTTTGGCAAAACTGTGCCCATAAAAAATATTAGTTTGCTTAACAACCATTTCAAAAACATCATAAAATACGACCTTTATGATCATAATAGGCATAATGACTCCATTATGGTCATATGTTAAGGACAACTTGTATTCCTATGCATTTTATAAATGCTTTACAAATTTCAAAGTATGGCCATGAGGATACAACAGGTATTACGATCATAATATGTGACATGGATTTTGCATCAATTGCATTTTTTGTTCATGTGTTTCTAAACCTAATTCAAAATAATAGTTTTACTGTATATACTCAAGTATAAGCCTAGTTTTTCAGCCCACTTTTTGAGCTGAAAAAAGCCGCCTCGGCTTATACTCGAGTC